CCAGATTTGTAAGGTAGAATTGGGATCATGATAGTGGGTGGGTGGGGGAGGGGGGGGGAGCATTAAAGAGCTAGAGGAAAGTTGTATGTTTCATCCATGCCATACTGCACCCTGACTGGTTCATTTCCTCCCAGTGACCCTTCTGTAAGGGGATGTCCAGTTGTTTACAGATGGGCTTTGAATCTCCACTCTACACTCCCCCTTTCACAATGATATGATTTTTTGTTCTGGATCTTTGATACTTACCTGATAACCTGATCCTATTGACACCTTGTGATAACACAAGCTGGTGTGCTTTTTCCATGTGGACTTTGTTGCTTCTCTGCTAGATGGCCACTTGCTCATTTTCCAGTCTTTAAGACCCCAAACACTATCTTTTGATAGCCAGGCACCATCAGCTTTCTTCTTTGCTTATGCACCTACTTTGTCTTCAGCAATCATGTTGGGAAGGTGAGCATCATGGAATGCCAGGTTCATAGAACAAAGTGTTCTTGCATTGAGGGAGAACTTGAGTAGAGATCTAATGTTTGTCTGCTACCTTAATACTTAGTATATGTACATACTTAATACATGTACATAGATATATTTCCCTATCGTTATATATATTTACATATGTAAATGCATGTATTTAGACCTCTATAAATGCCCTTTGCCGCCTAGTTCTTTTCCCTTTTACTTTCCTGTCTCACTATCATGATCAGCCTTCATTTGGGTTTCAGCAATTCCTCTCGGTTACATTGCCCTTGATTAAGCTCTACCAGCCCTCTTACACCCTCCTGGCCATCGACTTTAGATCATCACATGTTGTTCCCTTGTCCCTGGGTTTGTTAACATCCACTTCCTGAGAGGGGGAAGGGTCTGAATTTTTTTTTTAATGACTTCCACCTCATGACACCAAACTTATTATTATCAGGACAGGAATAAAATTCAAATGGCTAGGTATTTGGTCTGAGTGAGTCCATTGCCATTTTCCTTTATTAATTGAATTAGTCTAGAGATATTTAGAGAATTCCTGAAACAGACAAATGAAAGGCTCAAGAACTGCTCAAAATGATAGGATTCTGAGAAATTTTCAGCCTGAATTAATAGTAACTATGACTTTGTCTGACAGCCTGGATTCCTTTTTATATGGTCTTCACACCCTCTTCAAAGGTGACTTTAGGATAACAGCCCGGGATGAGTGGGTATTTGCTGACATGGACCTGCTGCACAAAGTTGTTGCTCCAGCTATCAGGATGTCACTGAAGCTTCACCAGGTAAAGGCATATTGGAAAAATAAAGCCTAAGCCTACAATTCTAGAAGAGAAAGTAACCTTTGAAACATATGGTACTATTTTTCTGAAAGGGATTTTTGAATGGTCTCGTTACTTAGGAAACTAAGCATTGAGGCCGCCTAAATATTCTTGCCCTAGACCATTGGATAGGTGCCCTGGTGATATGGCGGTGAAGCATTGGGCTGCAATCCTCATGGTCAGCAGTTTGAAACCACCTTGGGTGAAAGACTGGCCTTTCTACTCCTGTAAACAGTTACAGTCTCTGAAACTCCCAGAGGGTCACTATGGGTCGGCATTGATTCAATGGCAGTGAGTTTTTGGGAGAACATGGCTTGTTTGCCTTTTTTTCTTTTCCAGTTGCCACTGAGTCAACTCTGATGCTTGGTGACCCCAAATATTTCAGAGGAGAACTATACTCCTCTGAAATGATACTCCTATACTCCTATAGTTTTCAATAGCTAGTTGTAAAATAAATAGATCACCAGGTTTTTCTGCTGAGGTGCCTGTGGATGAACTCAAACTTCCAACCTTTCAGTTGGCAGCTGCATCTGCTATTTGTACCACCCAGTAACTCCTTCCTGGTTCATTGAAGAGGTAAATCTATGGTGATAGTAACTAGATTAGTGGTTCCTTAGGGGCATGACAGGGGAGGTGGTAGGAAAATGGAGAGCTAATAAAAATGAGTACACAAATGAAGAGAGGGTTTGAAAACTGATGGTGATGATGATTTTACAACTCATCTGGATGTAACTGAACTGGTGGATTGTATGATGTATGGATTATATGCAAATAAAACTGTTTTGTTTTTTTTTAAAAAAAGAGCTGACAGAAGGTAGTTAATAGCCACAAGGCAGAAACATGGATGTTGGGTCTAGAAAAGTACAGAAATTATATCTAATCACCATAAACAGTATTAGTCACCAAGGTAAGCATTTTCCCTAGACACTTTCCCTAGATAGAGCAATGTATAACGGGGTGCCCAACAAGCAGCTCAGGATTCAGAAGGAAAACAGGAATGAGAGGAGGGATGTGGAGGTCGACTTAGCTTTGTATGCCACTCTCTGCATGTAACCAAGGATCAGCAGATCTTGGGCCTCAGTGGATTCCCTGTGTTCCCCAGGACCAGTTCACCTGCCCTGATGAGTATGAAGACCCAATGATCCTCTTTGAGGCCATCCAGTCGTTTGAGAGGAAAGTGGTGATCTGCCATGAGGGTGACCCGGCGTGGAGGAGTGCGGTGCTGTCCAACAGAGAGGAGCTCCTCACCCTACGGCACGTGGTGGACGAGGGCGCCGATGAGTACAAAGTCCTCATGCTCCACAAAAGCTTCCTGAGCTTCAGGGTCATCAAGGTACACCACCCACTCTGTCACTTACATTTGAGAAGCAACAGGACGGTGGCTGGCACCAGCATGTGAGTCGTGTGCCATCAACTCTGTTTAGGTAACAGTCCCCAGGGTAGCATTGGCCAGCAAGCAGAGTTCAGGCAGAGAGCCAGGCTCAAGGTGGGACTTCCTGGCCAGCACCATTTCTCCAGCAGTGATTCAGCACGAAGGCCAAGACTCTGACAAGTCCTGATGGGAGCACATCAGTCGAGGATCAGGTTCCAGCTTTATTTTGAAGTTTACCCTTTGCTCTAAGAGCCCATTCCTGGATGCAGGTTCTTATTGCCAATTATTCCTCTTGTCCCATAATTTCAAATCACTTAGTTAACAGCAGGAACTTTCTTTCCATTAGCAACCAAGTTCCCCATTTGAAAGATGCATCTCTGAGGGCTCCCATGCTGGATTGATTATAGAGAAAGTGTTTCAGCTAGGTTAGAGTGCTATGGTCGTCAAGGTTCGTTTAGTCCAGAGTCGTGCCCACTCACTGCAGGAAACAGCAGACAGACGGGAAAGCATGGGTCATCGGCTTGCGTTTCCTGTTTCTTACCTCCCCTGCAGGTCAATAAAGAATGTGTCAGAGGACTCTGGGCTGGGCAGCAGCAGGAGCTCATATTTCTTCGCAATCGGAACCCAGAGCGTGGCAGCATCCAGAACAATAAGCAGGTCCTGCGAAACCTTATCAACTCTTCCTGCGACCAGCCCCTGGGCTATCCCATGTATGTGTCCCCCCTCACCACATCTTATCTTGGGACACACAGGCAGATGGAGGACGTCTGGGGCGGACCTGTTAGTTTGAGCCGCATTTGGACCTGGTTCCGCACCAAGTGGTTAAGGTAGGCCTTTATTTAGGTTCTGTGGCTGGTTCTGGAGGTGCACTACGGAAAGCTCTCACACATTTTTACTGGAATTTCACTGCTGATCAATATTTTCACCTGTGATTAAACTACTGTTCTTAAACAGCATCTAACACACCATTCATGTCAACAAGTGGTCTCAGATTATGAATCGGTAGAAAGTCTGGTATAGATGAGCACCCATTTCTCCACAGAGCAGTGAATCTGGCTGGAGTCCTTCCAGAGCTGCAGGGTGAGGTGCCCTTGGGAGTGAATGTTTGGACATCTCTGACAGAGAGCCAGGTCTGACCTCCTCAGCATACAGCTCTCATGCCACTGTGTCTGCTCACTCGATTTCAAGGGCTAAGCCTCTGTGTACTGGGAATGAATTCTAAGGCAATGGGATAGAATGTGGTTGAGCTCCTGCTCAAGCCACCCAATTGAGGAGTGTGGGGGGAAGTTAGCACTGAACTAGAATCATCTCCAAGCATTTTATTCGGTTACAAGATGTGAGGAACCAAAGCTTCTCTCTCCTCCTACAACCCAGGTGTACTGCCCAACTGTAGAGCAGAATCACATACTGATTTAGACAGCATGTGGGCAGCATTCGAAATGTTTGACAAGAACCCTTGAAGAGTTTCTCTCACTAGCAGAATGCGGAAGGATTGCCATGCTGGCCAGCACAGTGGTGGCAACATTGAAGATGTGGATGGAGGAGGGGCACCACCTGCAGGCCATGCTCCAAGTGGGGAGAGCCAGGAGAGCAGCACAGAGCCACCAAGGAAGGATGGGTGCCACAGTGGGGTTCCAACGGCAGGTAAGGGCAAGGAAGGCTTGGGTGCTCCTAAAGGCTCCTGTCGTCCTGGGCACCAACATCCTGGAGCCAGTTGGCACTCTAACCTCTGAGCGTCTCATTAGACCGGAGGATGTCTAGTGCATGGACTTTGGAGGCTCTGCTCCAGAAACATCTTTCTGATTTAGCTCTGATAACTCATCCATAGGCCGACTGGCTGGAGAGTCCCTAGATAGGGCAAACAGTTCAATGTTCACACACTCAGATGCCAACTGAAAGGTTGACAGTTTAGCTTCCCCTAGAAGCGTGTTGGAAGCAAGGCCTGATGATCTACTGCTGACAAATCAACCATCAACTGATTTGGGGGGCACAGTTCTACTCTGACACATAGAGTACCCTAAAGTTGGAACTGGCTCCATTGCAGCTGGTTGGTTTTCTAGTAGCCCGACCAGCCATCTAACCATCTGTCTGTCCAGAGAGCTCTCCATTCCATCTGTCTCTTGCTCACTCCAGAAACCCTTGATGCTGTACCTCTGCAACAGCTGCTGCCAGCACCGGTTTGCTCGCTCCCACCCAGTCTCCAAGGATGTGGAGTGCAGGGGCAGCCCCAGTGCCCCCTCCTCTCCTAGGTCTCTCGTTCTCATCTCCCGCTTCCTCCACCGCGCTTCCCATTTCAGAGAACAGGACTGAAGTGAGAAAGGTGCCAGTCGACGGGGGTTTAGGAGGTGGCTAGGCTACAGTTTAATGATTGAAATAATGCTTAAACTAACATTTAGCAAGTTAGGCTTGGACCAGATCGATGCAGATCCGCAGCCATCTTGCTGGTGCTGCTCCCGTAGGAGGAATGGCGGATCAGGAAAGGAGACTCTGAGGGTTGGCAGGGATGAGCCTCTTGGGAACATGAGAGGCAGATGCTCTGCCTAGGCCGGCTGACAGCTGGGGCCTTTGGCTTCGACCTTTAGAGTCTATTAATGAGATCACTTTGGGCATCAATTCTTCTTCCTCATCCAGAAGCATTTACTAGGCAACTCTGTGAAATCTCCCCCTGCCAGCTCTGTAGCACATGAATTAGGAGAAATAGTACCTGCTTCCTGGGAGTGCTCAAAGCAAGGCGGAGGCATTAAATGAGGTCCTAAATGTTTACAGAATGCCCAAATGTCGGGTAGGGGTCAGTGCTGCTCAGGTGACTTGTCAGCTGGCAGAGGTCACAGATAAGAACCACACAGGGTTATGGAGACAGGAGGAAGGCGGGTGGCAGGGGCTGTCAGATAGCAGGGAGCAGCTGGGCAAGCCTTCAAGCCTGCTTCCTCTTTCATTGAGTGATCTAGTGCCAGCAACTGGCTTCAGCCTCAGCCTGGACCAAGCTGGCGCCCTACTCCTCTAATCTCAATGCCACGGACAGCAACTCTTCTCCCCCATTTACAGCTGGAGACAAGGGGCCAGGCGCTGGCAGCTAATGTCATCGTAGAATCTTCTAGAGTGCAAACCAGCTTTTAATGATCATTAATTACTGAGTTGATACGCCCTACAGGAGATAGACTGATACGGGGGCTTTAACAGTGGGCTCAAGCATAAGAGCAATTGTGAGAATGGCACAGGGCCTAGAAGTGTTTTGTTCTGTTGTGCATAAGGCTGTTGGGTCAGAACCGACTCAATGTCATCTAACAACAATTGCACTCTTTAAAATGGCCACACTCAGACCACTCTTAAAGTTCTGGTTTTTACAAGTTAACCAGGCAGCGTTAGCCCTGTGCTCCTAGCCTTCACCACTGGCCAGCCCAAGTGAACCTCCAGCTCTGAGACCCATCGGTCTGCTGAAAGGACTTCATGAAGGGTCTGCAGCTTTGGAGAAAACTTGCCTTGCTACTGCTATAGCTTCTGCTGTTTCTGTGCCCCTGGCTTCATTTGATGTGTCCCTGATGAAGAAATAATACGATAAGTAATATGCCTCAAGAATTTACTGGGCAAAAACTACCTGAATACTTTGTATGTAACATTTCTTTTAATTGCCCCACCCCCAGTTGGACTATGCCCTGCAGATGAGGAAACTGGGCATAGAGGAATTAGGTAACACTCAGGTATAAGTGGCGATCTGGGTTAAGGCCAGACAAAATGGCTCTAGAACCTGTACCCTCAGCGCCGTGCTCTCCTGGGGCCTTCATCAGTCCTGACCTGAAACGCACTGCCAGGAATCACTGGTTACTGAACACTGACACACTACACAATGTCCCAGTGCTCTGTGTTGCAGGCACCGTCCCTGGCCACTTGAAATTTTGCTGCCCCCTGGGAAAGGGCTACACTTGCAACCGATTCTCTTTTTGTCATCAAGAGCAGGCAGGCAGAGTTGATACTCGTTCTTTCCCATGCAGGAATGCTAAAGCATCCACAAGCTCCCTTGTGCTTAGTTAACTGCTCCCGGCAGGAGAGCACCCAGGAAAGCTATCTTGAGACTGACAATCTCCAACAGAGGGCCAGACAGTTGGGAGGGACAGAGGGACAGAGGGAGAGGACACAGACACACCACTCCCCCTCTCCACTTCCAAACCAAACCAAACCCATTGGCATGAAGTCAATGCCAACATATAGTAACCCGGTAGGACAGAGGAAAACTGCCCCATAGGGTTTCTGGGACTGCAAATCTTTATGGAAGCCGACAGCCCCGTCTTTCTCTTGAGGTGAGTTCAAGCTGCTGACCATTTAGTTAGTAGCTGGACACTTTAACCACTGTACTGAGGTCTTCTTCTCCCTTCCTCACTCAAACAAAGGGGAAACTCACTCTCTTTCTGGCTTCTTGCTACAAACGTGTAGGTCTGTCCACATGGCTGCCAGAGTGATCTTAATGAAGGCAGTCCGTGTCATTCTGTTATAGCTCCTTCCCTCACAATAAACCCAAGGTTTTGTCATGCCCTTGGGACTCTCAGTACCCGCTCCTAGCGACCCCCCCACCCCCACCCCGATCTCTCCCTGTTCACAGGGCTCTGCTCGGCGCCTCACTGCTCTGCCGCCTGGCTAAGCTCAGCCAACTCAGAGCCTCTGCACTCCTGCTTCCTAGCCTCCAGTTCACCCTCAACAATGGCGGGTCCCTCTGCTCACCTTTTCAGGTCTGATCAGAAGTCATCATATCAGAAGGGTCTCTGGCAGCCTGCCTGCATAGCTTTCCTCTGTTAACCTGTCTCTGACCTGGCTTTCCTAACTCCCTCCCACCAATTCCCACCAGCACACACCTGCTTGTTTTAGGATAAAACCTCTACTAGGAGAGTAGGTGCTTTGTTCATGCCCCGCTCCTATGACAGTACAGGCACATGGTGGCTCCTTTGGACCAGGGCTAACCGGAGCAGGGCCTGGGACGTGAGTACGATCCCCCTGCTCCCCATACATGGCAGGTGACTTGCAGGCACGGGTGAGGCTAATCCCTTCTATATGTTCATGATCCACCCACCTAGGTCCCGGGGCGTATACAGGAGCAGGCATGGAGGGCCCTGTCCTGTGGGCCCCTTGTGTGGGAAAAGGCCAGAGTGAGGCTCCACTGCTCAGATCTAACTACTTGTGCTAAGTAGTTGGCTGTATGAATGAGGGATGGCCTCTCCTGGACAAAAAGAGATAAACTAGCTACTCCAGCATGGCTTTCCAAGAAGGCAAGGTAGCATGCCCTTGGGTCACAGAATTCCCAAATGGGCGCCAGCTACAGCAGGTTCTGTTCATCAGAGCAGGAGCACAAACCAAGAGCTGCGGATCTTGCCAGTGCTCCTGAAATCCACCACTCTGTCCTTGGGTCCTGGTTCCCTGCCAGAGTCGCACTGGGGACCCCACTTTATTCCGAGCTTCTCAAGCTCCTGCAGGGCCAAGTGTAGACAGGATGTCCATGTAGCAGTGGGTCTTCCCCGACTGGGAAAGTCCTGGGCAGAAATCTGCCTCTCCTCCTGAACACCACTGCATAGGGAGTAGCTTTAAAGAGCAGAAATGTATTTGTTTTTCCTTCTGGAGGCGAAAATTCCCTAGCGGCGTCTCAGCTGTGTTGATTCCTTCTTTGTAGCTAGCTCCGGGTGTCTCTTGCCTCCACGGCTTGTAGATGATCCCCCCTGGCATCTACCTTCCCTGTGTATGTATCTCTGCAGCTAAACTGCCCCCCCCCTAAAAATCATTTAATCAGGGGCTCGTACAACTCTTATCACAATCCATACATACATTGATTGTGTCAAGCACATTTGTACATTTGTTGCCATCATCATTCTCAAAACATTTTCTTTCTACTTGAGCCCTTGATATCAGCTCATTTTCCCCCTATCCCTCTCCACCCCACCCCCCTCATGAACCCTTGATAATTTATAAATTATTATAACTCAAAAAGTAATTAGATTTAGAATCCACCTTAATCACATATGATCTAATTCATATCATAAAGGAAATAATCTCTCCAAAATGGATCAGATCCCTGGGTATAGAAATTAAGATTCTAAATGGGGGAATTAGAATTCTTAATGAAGGCTTACTTCCCTTAGCTAAGGGACCAATTCCACCGGCCCTCTGTGGTGCCTGCCGCCACCTGCCTCTAGATTCTTGTGGTTCCTTCCTCAGTTCCTAGATAATATCTAATCCTGCATCCTTGCCAACTCTCACAGAATGGAGTCCCCCCGCCCCCCCCTCCCGAGTCCCCACAAGCAGCTTCCTCTCTCAGCATCCCCTCCAGTCCAGCTGCCAGGCTTTTTTGATACCAGCCTCAGCTATGATTCTGAAAACCTGCAATCTTCATGCTGGAGATCAGCTTGCTGGGGTACGAAGTATACTTAACAGTGGAAATAAGAACATCCCTCAGCCGAGAAGACTGGTGACCTACTTGTTAAAGAGCAGTTAGGAATTCCTAACTGATTGGAATCCTCAATTGGAGAGGAGGAGGGCCTGCTGTTGGTAGGACTCCTCTGTACACACCCTTTTGGATAGCAGTCAAAGGCAAACAAGTGATGTCATGACTAGGAACTGAGACTGCTTCTATGGCATTTCAACCTAGGTTCTAGCGAGCTTTCCCCTAAAACACTCCGTTTGATAAAAATACCACTGACAAAATAAGTAAGGTTGTAGAATGAAGACCCCGAGTGGCATGCATGTACTTAGAATTCGTGTGTCAGTAGCGTGAACCAAGGTAGAGTCAAATCAAAAACAAAACAAACACGGAAGCAGCAAGAGAATGCAAGCTGGGAAATCGAAGGCCTTTGTCCTGTTGTTCCCGGTGCTAGATCGGAAGTTTCTACCCAAGTATGGGTGGTCTTCAATTCACATCAAAATCAGAGGTTTGGGAATGACTCTGGAATACTCTGGACAGCAGTACAAATCACAAACAGATGTTTGGCTTTGCCAAACTTCGAATAAACTAACAAATCACTTTCTGTTCTTAATTTTGATGTCAAGGTCCCTTTTGCCCCCTTCCCCTCTATAACAGCAACATATTAAATTCATCAGGGAGGACGTTTGGCAGGCTGTGGTCTACCCTTGCTTGAAGTGCCAAGGACGGTCCCATGCTGGGGCTGACACACACAACACAGGGTAGCCCTGGGGGCGGGCACCTCGTTTCTCAGTCCTCTAGGGACCACCGCACTCAGGTGGCACTAAGCTCACATTAGTACCAGAGGGAGTGGGGAGAGATCTCAAGTGTGTCTCTGTTATGTTTATTTCATAAGGAGTAATTCTCCTTATCAAGATCTTTTAAATTAGATCTTACCTGATTACTGATCCTCACAATGAGCAGCCAGACCAGATGTGCTCACAAGCAGATTCTCCTCTGAACTAGCTGCTTGTTAATGAAGCCAAACAGTATGTGCTGTGTAGGGACAGAGGGCACAAGACCTCCTGTAGGTTTTCTTTTGTCCAGAGATGTGGATTGAATGAATTCGACCCTTTAGTCAAAAATGCCAGGTCCAGAAAATCTCAGCATGAGCTCTACCAGGAGGGGCAGCTGTGTACAGGCGTTCTGGCTGTGGGCAGGCAGAAGCCATATCCAGGCATGAGACCCTGGGTTTGCACAAACGTTGGGTCTTGGTGGGTTTAACCTGAGACCCTAACTTAGAAAATAAAGGTCACAACATGTAGTCCCACCCTATTATTTCAAGTCCACTATAGATGATAAAAGCTGCATGCTGTTCTAATCGTAGGAGACAGGTAAGCCCAAGAACCAAGGTTATGACCTACTTACAAAATAGATTTGTTTACTGAGGACAAGCTACTCTACTCTATCATCCTGCTTTATTCCTAATTGAGGGAGTCTCCAACAACTCGGCACTTTCAGTGCTAAAACCCGGAGTCCCTAAAAAACCCTGGTGGATATATAACTGTAACTGCTACTGCCCATGCCACTGCCCACTGCCCCTCTGAGGTGGCAGTGACATTTCCGACACATGGCTAACAAGGGACCTGCATTCTCGTCTAGACAATCACTAGTCATCTTTGCAAACCTGATGAGTGCCTTTGATTCCCATGAAGAAAGTGATAAGAGACCTTCCCTTCTTGGTCTGTTTTGGTGTTTGAGGCGGTAGACTTGCCTGTCTCTCAGGTCCATGCAGAGCAGGCTGTCTACCTGTATGGTTACCTATGGACTCAGGCAGCATTAGCAATTCCCTGCAACTACAATGTACTTTTTTTTTTTCCTTTCAAAGGTAGAAGGAAAGGCAGGAGCCGGTCTGTCCAGGCACATTCAGCTTTGAGCCAAAGACTGCCTATCTCGAGTTTGTCAAGACCTGTCCTGGAAAGCCATCAGACCTTCATCCAGACATCCACATCAGTCCATGAGTTGGCCCCAAGGCTATCTGGAAGCCAGCTTTCCTTACATAATTCAGCTGCATCCCTGCACTCCCAGCCACCACCAGCTACCACAACCGGTCACCTGAGTGTCCGAGAGCGGGCTGAGGCACTGATCAGGTCTAGCTTGGGCTCGTCGACCAGCTCCACGCTAAGCTTTCTCTTCGGCAAGAGGAGCTTCTCCAGTGCTCTCGTCATTTCTGGACTTTCTGCTGCCGAAGGCGGCAATACCAGCGATACGCAGTCATCCAGCAGCGTCAACATCGTGATGGGCCCTTCAGCCAGAGCCACGGGTCATGCCACACGGGTAAGGAGGCAGAGCATTAGCAGATCAGAGAGTTACCAGGCTGTTAACATGGGTGCTCAGCCTATGCATCTCCAGCAGGTGACACCTGATGAGACCGCCATTTGTTGCAGACCTACATGAGAAATAACCAGATCATTCCATAGGGAGTGTGTGTGTGGGGATGAGGGGGTAGCTTGCAGCTGGCAAGCTGTTGGGTACCTGTCCTGTAAATAACAATCCTAGGCATTGTTGGGGGACTCCCAAACCAAGGTTGAACAGAATTAGCATTAAACCTGGGCGTGAGAAGGGGGATGCTCTCCACTCTTGCACACAATGGAAGCAGGTTTGAGGTCCCTTTGTCTCCCAATATTCTGGTCCAAGAGAGAGGAGAGGGAACACATTTATACTGGAACTAAGTAAACATTCATTTCTCTCATCTGGTCTAACTTTAAGGTTGGTGAGATGCCTACTTCTATTAGGCATTTCAACAACAGAAAAAGGGTTTCAAGGACTTCACTAAACTTACTTATTTAGGATTCCAAGCTAGCTGACATCACATGAGTACTAGTAGTTCAAACTCGCACATGTATATATGTGTGTGTATAAATGTACATACACACATATGTAGACGCACAACTGTTCTCTTATGTAACAGGGTAAACCAAAAACCAAACCCACAGCCATTGAAGCTTTTGACTCATAGCAACCCTGTAGGACAAAATAGAACTGCTTCTTAGAGTTTCTGAGACTGTCACTCTTTACGGGAGCAGATGGCCTTGTCTAGTGGGTCTGAACCTCAGATCATGTGGCCAGCAACACACATTTCACCCACTGCACTTTCAGGACTCTGTACATAACACTGTAAGGAGGGAAAAGTAGGAGGTAGCATGAGGACAAAAACTGCCCTCCAATTTGGTGATTCTTCATTTTCCTTTGGATGTTACTTTTCGGCCCAAGATTTGTTCTCTTTATTAAGCTTTAGAGCTGCGGTTCACAACTGTGGGTCATGACCCCTTTGGGGGGGAATGACCCTTCCACATGGGTCACCCGATTCATAACAGTAGCAAAATTATAGTTCTGAACTAGCAATGAAAATAATTTTATGGTTGGGGGGTAGGGGTCACCACAACATGAGAAACTGTATTAAAGGTCGCGGCATTGAGAATCACTGCTTTAGAGCTACACCTCACTTGCTTTCAGTCCTGGGTGCAGTTTTGGGGATGTACAAAGCAGTGGGTACCTTAGCCTTCTGATCCATCTCTGCCCTCTCCTTCCACGAGTGATGTTTTCTATACAGAGGTTCCTCCCTCCCTCAAGGACACAATACAGCTACTGCCCTCTGCCACCCTGACAGCAAGCTGAGCCCACAGGATTTCAGCCATGGGGATTACCTGACTTGGCGGGGTCTTGGGCTTTGTGAAAATGATAGGTCACTACCGCCAAGAAGAAGGGCGCTTCAAGAGATTTAATTAAGTCTAGTTAGCTAAGACTCTTTGATTGGTACAAATGGCAGCATAGTCAACTGCTAGCCAGAAAGTTGGTGGTTCAAGTCCACACAGAGGCATGTTGGAAGAAAGGCCTGGCTACAGACTTCCAAAAGGCAGCCATTGAGAACTCTATGGAGAAGAGTTCTAAGCTGACACACAAAGGGCCACCATACATGGAAGTTGACCTCACAGCAACTGGTTAGATATCTAAGTTCATAGACAAACTCCCCTCCCTTTTCCTTATTTTCTCAATACAAATGTTCAGAACAACATACCTTTGTCCCACTTCTGAGGAGCCCTGGTGGGTTAGTGGTTAACTGTTGGGCTTCTAACTGCGAGGTCAGTAGTTCAAAACCACCAGCCTCTCTGATGGAGAAAGACAGGGCTTTCTACTCCCCTTAAGAGTTAAGTCTCCCCTGCCCTATAGGGTCAATATGAACTGACAGTGACTCATTGACAGCGTTTGGTTTTTGGAGTTGTACTCTACCTCCAGGCTGTGCTCAAGTCAGTCTTAAAGGTCTGTGTGGTCCCTTTCCCCAACAAGCATGACTAAGTCCACAGGACTATATATGCCCAGAATAACACGGTCTCAGTGCTCCTGCTCTGTGTCAAAGCTCAGGAATTCAGCTTCCATGGCAAAGCCATGTGGATGTTGTACATGAAGTGGAACTGCTAGGACACCAGCCATTCAGTCACACAGTGACCTTTTGCCAAAGGCCATCTCTTTCCAGCATATCCGCAGTGATCCCTCCACTCCTCCCCAGACACCCCATGATCAATGGGGCCTCTATCCTCTTCTCAAAGGTTAGGCCCTGGTCTTTATGATCCGATCTGTCCTTGGAACCTAACTTTATGGGTGCTAGGTACATGAGTGTACATGCTCTGGTTTAGCTCCTCTGGGTATGTGGGGTTCTAACTAGAAGAAGCTGGCAATGGGTATGTGCTCAACTCTTTGCTGTTTCTCTTTCCTGGAAGCACTTCTCAGAGCCATGTGAACCCACTGAAGCTGCAGAGCAGGGGCGGCTCAGCAATCGCCGGCTCACCGAAGCCATGGCAGAGACCCCGGGAGTGATGTGCAGACGGGCGAGCCAGGAGGACATGGGGCTGGATGACACTGCGTCTCAGCAAAGTGCTTCAGATGAGCAGTAACAAGTGTTTTTCAGGACTGGACCATGCTCACAGGGACTATGGGTATCTAGCATGCGCACCTTCATGATTCTTCCTGTGACCACCCCCCAAATGGAAAAGAACAAATATCATCTTGGTGAGAGTTGTTCTAGAAAAAGGACTAATTTTAATTTTTGCTGAAGAAAGAAGAATCAATACCACCTGCCTCCTTCCCTTGAGCGCCTGCCTCAGCGCTACATGGCTTGGGCCACACAAACATACTTTTCAACATTCGAAGTTCCAAAAAATAGCTATTTACTATCTTGACAACAAGTAAATAATGTAGAGCACCTGATTTGACTCTTTCCTGCCCTGATGATAGGACAACTGCACGTGAAACAATTGGCACTGTATAAAATGCCACTGTTCCCTTGAACAGAAGTGCTCAGAGTCTTACTGTAAAATGCAGCCAGGCTAAATCTACTTCAAGGAAAACCTCACTTCATTATAATCATGCAGGTCTTAGGTGCACAATCAATCATGGCCTTATTACTAGAAGACAGGCGATAGTGCATGCAGTCATGTCTGAAATATTCACTGATGAGCCAAGTCAGATGACATGCGTAGAACCTAATAATGGTCAGTGCATGGAAAGCCCTCTCTGATCTCCAAGCCCATCTGATTGCAGTCTCTTAAGCAGCCAGCCCTCCTTGGGCTTACCAGAAACACCTTTTTTCCCCTTTTCTTTTCCCCAGCACAGCAGTACTCACCGTGCTGCCTGACACCTGCACACACCTTTGCTTTTACAATTAAAATGTTTATACCTACTCTTGTGTGCTGAAAATTGCCATTTCTATAAGCACAGGTGGTAAAGCGGTTAAAGTGCTTGGCTGCTAACTGAAATGTCAGTGATTTGAACCCACAAGTTGCCCTGTGGTAGAAAAATGTGGCAGTTTGCTTTGGCAAGATAGTCTTGGAAACCCTATGAGGCAACTCTACTCTGACCTATAGCATCTCTGTGGCTCACAATTGACTCAATGGCAGCAGGTATACTTTATCATATGGAAGTTGGGTAAATTCTGGGACATATTTCCCTTCTTAAGACTCTCACTAGGTAAAGGAACAACCTGGATTCCTGTTGAAAAACAATTCATGAAGAATAGTCATGGAGCTGTTGCACTCATTCTTTTGGAAAGATGCCAGTTAGAAATGCTCACTTTAGAAAATAGCCACATACCATATATACTCGAATATAAGGCGACCTGAATATCAGCCGAGGCACCTAATTTTACCACAAAAACTGCATTAAAAATGTGCTGAAAACTCAGCTTATACACGAGTATATATGGTAGCTATAAATTGCTATAGGTGGGCTACTGTTAATCTCAGATGAATAATACCTGGAGATGCAAGGTGTTGCACAGAAAGTGAAATTCTGCTCAAGCAGCTGACACGGACAGAGAAGCCAGAAGTGTCGCTGGTGGTAGTCCAGAGAGAGAGAAATCTGTGTTCTTTCTTTAACTGCGGTATCTGTTGATTCCTCATCTAAGTTATCAGTGAAGTATTTGGGGGTTGGGTGGAAGAAGAGGAAAATGTACAGTTTATCAACAGTCAGAACAAATTCCTCCACTGCGACTCTGCTTTCTTTGCACCATCCTGGGAAGTTAAGGCATCTTGCTGAAAAGAGGCATGTGTGCAAATACATCTCTAGGTGGACACTCCTGGAAGGATATTGCTTGGCGCAAGTCAGGACCGCCTGGCCAGCACCATCTATGCAGTCATAGCTTTTATGTGATTATGGGAAATTTATGTTTCTTCACCTGCTCCTCCGTCAGTCAGCCGGTTATTGGACAGTATTCCTTGCAAAATATTGTTTTACTAGGCCCATTTAAAGGAGACATTTCTGAGTTGACATTTATAGCCAAAGTTATTCAAATGTTAATTTCTGCATTTGGACACTGAACACAATTGTTTCTCTTCTAAAGGTAGTAAAAATACTGTAGCATTTCTTGTCAACTGCCATCGTCAGTTGCAACACATGGCAACTCTATGCACAACAGAAGGAAACACTCCCCAGTTCGGTGCCATCTTCACAGGGATCTTGTTTGCGCCCACTGTTCTAGGCACGGTGTCAACACACCTTGTCAAGGATTTCCCACTCTTTCGCTGTCCCTCTACTTTATCAAGCATGATACCCTTTTCCAGGGACTGGTCTCTCCTGACAACGTGTCCAAAGTACGTGAGATGAAGTCTGGTCATACTTGCTTCTAAAGAGCATTCTGGCTGTACTTCTTACAGGTCAGATTTGGGTTTTGGCAGTCAATAGTACGTTCAATATTTTTTGCTAGCACCATAATTCAAATGCATTAATTCTTCTTTGGTCTTCCTTATTAAGTGTCCAACTTTCACATGCACATGAGATGGAAAATACCATGGCTGGGGTCAGTCACACCTTAGTTCTCAAAGTAGCATCCTTGCTTTCCAACACTTTGAAGAGGCTTCAACTGTATCCCTTGGTTTTCTATAAATGATAGAGTGAATTGGCATTACTGATTCTAAACTCTGAGCTATGCACTTACAGTATATTTGGAATGTAGTTCCCTCAAATCAATAGATGCTTACATTTCTTTACCCATAGAGCAGAGCATGCATTAGCAATGCTTATTCATGTGTCTCCACTGGAGCCACTTCCACTTGCTTTGTCACAAATGAGTACTGTGTATATGTACACACACACACACACACACACACACACACACACACACACACACACACACACTTGAGTTCACGCTCTCCCAGACAAACTTCTAGCCAAAGACAGAAGAGAGTATAAAGAAGGGGCAAGGCTTATCCACATTTTTTTCCCTGAGCTACCATTGCTGACCCCTTTGATTGTTTGCAGGCTGGGAAACAATGAATGAATGAACTTGCAACTTTATGGGAAATCTCTTTTGTCATTCATTGTGGTGCAATGAGTTCCTTTAAGTGCATTTTGGCTTGGTTCTTTGGGAAAAGTTTTAAGAGATTTTCCCCTAAGCCCTGAGGCATTAGCTTTGTCCCAGTTTTCTAACCCAAAGGATCTGTTATTTTTGTCTAGGTCAATGGTCAATTCTTAGCCAAGCTGTAAACAACTTACATAAGGTTTGATACATTCTCTGGTCCTGAGCTGCCCTGCGACTGGTAGGCACGTTAAAGGGATTGGTCACTAGACTATGCAAATGCAGTTACTATCACCTACTGTGCAAATGAAATGTGAGTGGCCTGCCAAGGCCCTGACTTGATGAGTTTGTGTGCTTCCGTACCAAGCGCACAGAGGTTAATGAACAGCCAGCAGCAGAGAGAGAAGCAGAAGGAAGTTGAGAACAACAGAGGGGAGGCTAGGAACCTCCTGTAAGAATGGCTACGCAGTCAACAGTACAACACCGAAGACAGTGAGCTCAGAAGGGGCCCAGTGACAGTTGATTACAGACTACCAGGACCAAGAGGAGTCTGTCTTGAGGAATCCAGGAGGCCTGCACAGCTGACAGGAGCTGAGAGATCTGCCTTGTACTGAAGGGAGACTTTGACTACATGCGTCTAAATCCTCACCCCAAGTCATACCCTGTTACTTCCTTAATAAAACACTTAACTAGTAGGGCAATCTGTAAATTCGGTGCGGCTATTGCAATGGATTATTAAATCCAGCAGAGTAGACAGCGCACTGGGGAGGATGGCTGGATTGTCAGAATTGGTAAAACAGTGTGTAGATACGTCTGACGTCCAGCTCACAGGAATAAACCATGGGCTGATGAAAATACTCATTTTGCTTTCTTCCTCTGGAGTTAGAAAGGCGCAGACATTACACTGACTACACAGACATGTAGTCAGAGAGATCATATTCTACCATTTTAAAGGGTGTGCCCAGTTTCCAACGTGTGCTTACTATTACTCAGAAATGAATGGAAATAAAAACAATTTAAAAATATTGGGTAAGCATGTAGTAGCTGGTGGTGGTACCGTCTAGTAAGAAAGGGAAATGGGACAGAAAAATGTTTTACTAAAAGCATTTTCCAAATCAGTTCTGCTGTCCTATCCAACCATATCATTCTACTTGAGTTTCTTTATAGAAGCAACTTACATTTCCATGTTATTTTTCAAAATGAAATATTTCCTGAAACCTGGTCTCATCCAGCTATCTTAGATACATTTATTTGTTCAAATGGTAGGCATTATAAAATAAGGCATAAAAAAGTACTGCTCTCTGCCTGTTCCTGCTACCCATCTCCTCAGCTCAGAGGTGGCACCAACACCCATGCAGGTACCCAGCCTGCCCTCCCTCAGCCATGGCTGTGCTCAAGGAGCAAAGGAACCCACACAAGGCTCTGCTGCAATACCTTCCCCTGGTCCCCCAAGTGAATTTCTGCTCCTGGATGTCTCTGTTGAATGCTCCTATCAAAGGCTCTGCATTTGTTATGACTTAATCTCATTAAATTTCCCTCATGAGGTACAAAGGTTTTATATGACAGACATCTTCCTACATGCTCCCTGATTATTGTTTGACCAAGTAACTCAATAGTTATTTAAGGACTCTGCACAAAGCTGACCTTTGATTTTATAGTGGCCAAAGTTTATCACAAGGGTCCTGGTGGTGTAGCGGGTTACATGTTGGAGCTTCTAACTGCAAGGTCAGTAGTTCAAAATCAACTGATGCTCAATGGGAGAAAGATGTGGCTTTCTATTCCCATACAGATTTAAATTCTCAGAAACCCACAGGGGAAGTTCTATTTGGTCCTGTAGGGTCACTGAGTCAGAAAAGACTCAACAGCACTTGAACATGGTTCATCAAAGCTAAACGCTACCTCTCGATTTCTGGTGGCATGAGACAGGCTGAGAAGAACAGAAAATGGCAGCAAGTCCAAGCCAGGGCCAAGTGGGATGTCTTGGAAAGAGCATGGGCTTCGGAGACACGGAATTGGATCCATATGCCATCTCTGCCATTGCTAGTGCTATGATCGTGATCTACATTTACCAGTAAAGGAGAAAGCATGTATGAAGTTGGTGGTACCCTACAAATGCCAGAGGTCTCTCCCAACTGGTTTACACAGGGGCTACTTTGCAGGAAGTAGCTGCACCCTTATCCATTTATACACCCATTAGTTTCAGCTACTACCAAGCCAAACCTAACTTACTGTCATCGAGTCAATTCTGACTCACAGTGACCCTGCAGGACAGAGGGTCACACAAAGGTTTCTGTGTCTGTAAACCTTTGTGGGAGGAGACATCTTCATCTTTCTTCCATGGAGCAGTTGGTAAGTTCGAACTGCTGACCTTGTGGTTAGCGGTCCAACATGTAAACCACTACGCCACCGGGGCTCCTTCTGGCTTATAGCCCCCTCAAATAACCTATTTTATCTTTTGTGAAATCATTCCATCAACCTTCCTTCTAATTCAACACAAAATTAAAGTGTGTAAAACAGTCACCAAAAGGACCAGAAGTGGAAGCATGTTCACTCATCAATCTGATGAATGAGGAAGCTTATAAATTCAGGTGCTTTCTGGAAGTGGAGAGGAAAGGTCCCTCCCTGAGAGGAATCCTCGGCTGAGACAGATAGCTCCAGCAGGCCCAGGGCTAGGCTGTCCTCTGTGTCTACCTCTCCCAAAGCTGAGCAGGGCTCACCTAAAGGCTGAATGGCATAAAAGCAGGACAGGATGGGGCAGGCTCCCAGATCCTGGTGGGTGGCCCACTTTGTGGGAAGCTTCTAGCTGCCCTGCCATGCTAACACATAACGAACACACCGACATTCGGTTCTCCTCCCTCCTTGGAAGCATAGGTTGGGAGTCAACCCAACACTGCCAAACACCAGGAATCTTGGCATTGGCCTTTGAACAAATGCAGCCAGAGCAGGACCATTGGGAAGAAGCCTTTTCCTTAATATTAAACAAATGACCTTTCCAAAGGATTAATTCATAATTGTTAAGCCTTTTTAATTGTGATCCCTCAAAGGGTTGGCAAACCCAGCTCCAGCTTCAGAAACTTATCCTGGAAGGAGATTAAATCAAATCAAAGAGTCTTTCACAGATGCAAATCACTTTCTTTGTTTAGAGAAGTGAGGACTTTCTCTGCCCACTAGGTCCCCGTGACAGCTTACCCCATGTGCTGACCAGCCCGAGTCTGTGGCTGCAGACAGGGAGGCATCCCCTGGCATGAACAGCGGTGGTTGAAATTCAGGGTACGGACTCTAGAGGAAGTCTTTCTGTGTTTCTACTGACTTTTATTCTTCTGTTCTTTAGTGCTCTTCATGTGGCCAATATCCTCCCCTCTGCTCATATGCTCTTTGTATATATCAAAGATAACACTGTTGAGAAAAAGTTGATTAAGTATATAACAAAAATTGATGATTGAATTCTTTTATATCTCAACAAGATAGAAACACTGATATGATCTCATTAACATAACAAAGAAAGTTCTACTTGGAAATGGGATCACATCCATGGGTACAAATAAAGGGTTAGGATTGACAGTATATATATATACTGTCATATATATATAAGCATATATATATACTTATATGACACAATTCAACCCATGACAAGTACCATTGATGAGTTGGAGGGAAACTTCCTACTTTATGAGTTCAGAAATCAAGATAACAATTGACTCTGTCTTTTTTATTTTCACTAAAGTACCAATGTTATGGGTTACATTTAAAAAAATTAACATTACTATTAATGGAAACAATCCATTGCACTGTTACATTCCTAATAGAATTATGCTGAAGGGTCCTTTGAGGCCCAAGAATATACCTAGTTTAATGCAGCCCAGGTGGGCTCTGATCTGAAGTAGCCCGGGCTGAGTAAACTCCTCTGTTGACACCACAGTACAGAAACATCAGAGATCCTTCCCACACATGGTCTCATGTAGCTGTAACCCCCGGATTTCGATATTTATTAAGCAATAACAAACAAACAAACAATAAACTGAGAAGGTTGGTTTCAATGGTTTTCTTTTGAAATAATAATTTTCAAAATTCAAATAATGGTTGCCACTTTAAATGGCATCAAACTGAAGCTGCACCTGGTGAGAAATTTAATTTTCATGACATGCAAAATTGATTAAGTAGTGAATTCTTTTTTCCCCTTCCCCTGAAGGGGAAAACTTCAATAGAAGCAAATACCATCTTTAATACTTGCAAAACCATTTCTCATTCCATAATTAACCACGATCATACACACAACTGCAAGAGGAAATAAACAGAAATCTTTAAGCATAAATAAGCCATAATGGATTGTTAATCTTGTATAGTCAATCCAGCATTAAGGCTAATTTGATCTTTTAAACATTTTATGGAAACCAGCTGTCAGGTTTTCTTTAGAAAAGCCCACAGGGTGTTAGGACCTTGGCGATCACAAGCCTGAGGGACGAGACCCTGGAAGTCAAAGTGGCTGGCCAGGTCCACTTGAACCGTACACATTTCTTCCCACGCAGAAAGCAGTAATTCAAAGCATCTTCACTTCATGCAGTTCTGTACACACATCACGATGTCTTGTAAAAGACTGTTTCTGTTTTCCTTGGTAACCTGCAGGGAGAAGCAAGAGGTGGGTTCAGCTTGTCTTCCCTTTCCTCTGGTTCCCTAATAGATTATACTCTAGAAGAAAAGCCTGGTAGATTGGGAGAGAGTGAGGCTTGCTTCCCACTGCCATTGAGTTGGTTCTGACTCACAGTGAGTCAGAAGCTGTAAGTCTTTACAGGCTAACTTCATCTTTCTTCCATGGAGTGACTGGTGGGTTTGAACGGCTGACTTTGGTGTCAGCAATTCAGCTTACCCAATGGCACCACCAAGGATCATTGAAAGCCACAGAGGTGTCCTAATATCTTACTCTCAGCTCCTGCAAAGCAGCAACTCAAAGAGTGAAAGTGGACGTGATGGCTGATGGATCTCAACAACCCGAAGACCTGCTACTTGAACCCTGTGCTAGGCATTCCAGGCTGTGTGCTAGGCACTGCAGGATGGATAATGTGAACACAGGTGGCACATGGCTCAGACCACCACTTGCCACGAAGAGGAGAAACTGCTTAAAGGAAGCAAGGGGGAGAACAAACTTTTCTCGGTGGATCACAAAAAACATACCCAAGGGTATTTTTAAATTCTGGAATGCTTCTAGGTAACTCATTTACTCTTCTCTCTAAAAAGTTAAAGATCTTAGTCTAGCAGGGACATCTGAGACTACACATTGTCTCACAATGAGGCTGAGAAAGGCAGATGATGACAGTGTATAGACCAGAAAACAGCTCATCTGGCCCCGATGCATGTTCCCTATATTTAATATTATTACAAAATAAATATACCAGAAGTAACACAATGCATTTAAACTCTGTTTGACAACTTGGATTCTCCCCTCCCCTCTCACACAATAGTAATATCACACAGTATCCATGTATTAGGCCGGGTTAACTAGAGAAACCAATCCAGAGACACTCCTATGTGTAAGAGAGAGCTTTATATCAAGAAGTAATGATACATCGAGCAAACATCCCAGCCTAGTCCAGATTAAATCCATAATTTCAATACTAGTCCATAAATCCTTCTTCAGACTCATGCAGCCACATGCAATGATACAGAATGCAGGACAACCACAGGCGAGTGGATGAAAAGCTGTCTGGACCCAATGGTGGCGCCATATCACAGGGCTCCCAGCAACCAGGTCAGCCAGCAGGAAGGTGAAGGCAGAGAGAGGGAGAGGAGGGAGGTTCTCAGGGCCCTCCTTATGAGATGGCCACACCCACAAGGAGTCACCATCAGTCTGTGACCTGATTGACAGGCTGGACTCTACCCCTACCCTTTTATATATCTTCAAGTTGACATGAAATCATTTAATGACCACAATCCATGAGCACAAACAATAATACCTATCACACCAATGAGTATATGGTGAGATGTCCCTGAAAGTACAGGCAAGGTCATCTTGTCACTCATCATCCATGGCTTCCTGTCTGGTCCCATAGTAACTGTCACATGTTTAATGTGCAATTATGGGGCATCAACCCAACACTAGGCAGGATGCACAGGATTAACTTGGACCTAATGGTGCTTATATACAAGAGCAGAGGGATAGACTTGAATGTGAATGAAGTCAACCCAATAATGGGTTTGTGATGAAAAGGGCAGAGAAGCACAAGTAAGGGTCAAGAGGTCAGGAAAGGTGTCCTATGGCAGCTACATATTGAATTAACTTTTACAAACCTGACTGAAGGGTGGGGTAACCACGTGGAGAATGGGAGATGGCAAGAGTGAAAGCTCTGAGCAAACAACACTGTACAGTGAGGAAGTGGCTCTAGCAACTTCAGTGAGTTCAATATGGCTGGACTCAAGCCAAACTTGATCCCACTGCGAGCTGAGTACTTGGTCAAACTGAATGCCTAGTACCCAACAGGTACTAAATGTTTCATGAGAAACTGCACAGTATACTTCATCACTCTTGGTTCTCTTCTAAGAAGAACACTTTGTTGGTGCTCTGGGATAAGGGTTGGGCCACCAACTATAAGGTTGGCAGCTTAAATCCACCAGTTGCTACTTAGGAGAAAGTTGCATCTATCTGTTCTTGTAAAGAGTTATAACCCTGGAAATCCTCTATCCGGTTCTTGTGAAATGGAATAATCTGGGGCTGTGTGAGTGGGGCTATATGGGAGACTACATTCTGGGAAATACCGTTGACCAAGGCAAGGCAACCTCTACTCTGGAACTTTACCCAAGAACAGGAATACTACACAGAGGGGACCAGGGCAGCCAGGACTGCACTGACTCCAGTTCTTGCTTCCACAGCAGCATGGCGAAAGGAACAGTGGGGCATATGACTTGTAGTCTTGCAGTTCCTTTTTCTCCCACCCCAAATTTACTAGGAATACAAACAGCTGTGCTTCACAGGGCCATGAAAAAGTAGTTTGGCTTAATGGGAGGAAAAGCCAGGGAGGCGAAGGGCATTTCAAGCTTCTTCCTCCACTGGACATTTTATCACTTTCTTTCCAAGAGGGATAAAGGGTGAGTGGTAGAGAAAAGAATGGGGAAGCAGAATAGAAGAAAGATGAAGGCCAAAAAGGCAGAAAAGGCCGCGGGGGTGGGGTGGGGTGGGGGTGGGGGGACTTATTCAGACGGAAAGCATGAAATCTATTGTGCAAAAAACTAGTATGGTAGCCCTGCTGTCCTGAAAACCAGAAAAGTCCCCTGTCCAGCTATTAAAAGAGCTGACAGAGATGGATCTGCAGCTTCTTGAGCACTTGGCTTCAATAGTTTTGCAACGAGCACTTCCGCTAATGCTCAATTGCAAATATAAGTTAATGTGATGAGAAACACATGAGGTAACAGTTTACAATAGGCATGGGAAAAGGAGACAAGTTTCCCACGGGTCATTAATACAGCTCCAATCTTATTCCTCACATCCTTAAGCCCTTTGATAGAATGGTTAGGAGTCCTATGTGTGAGAGCCAGTTCACAAATCGATCAGGGACAAGAGGGGCATAGTCTTAATTGAGAAAGAGAGTAAAGAAAAGAGACAAAGTTGGGGTGTAGGGGGCACAAAGAAGAGAGACGCCAAGGCTTAGATCTTTATTCGAGGTAGGCTTATATACAGTACTTGTCCCATACCCTGTCTCCCGTGACAATTCTTACACCAAGGGCTTGTTGATAATTATCTGAAGGCAAACAAAAAACCCAGTTATATTTTAGCCAATTTCTCTATGGTCCAGAGGGGACGATAAAGCCCTGAACAGGGAGTACAACCAATATTTTGCAGAATGCTGTGTTTCAGCCACCTCCCAGGGAACAGGAGGCAAAGTGTCCACTTATCTTTGGCAAAGGTCAGACCATCCAGTGCATCAACTCCCCGGGTTGAGCCGTCAACACCTTCCCATGGGGCCTTGTCAAAACCATGGAAGGTGATGGTCCTGTCCCACTTGCTCAAGGAGCAAAACAGCTTCACCCCCAACACATATAAAGTGAAGTGAAGGGTCACACGGCAGACAACCCTGTTACCCAAGACACTGTTCGTGAGGAAAGGCTGCAGAAATGGCACAATGGCAAGGCTTTCCCAAGAAGTCAGATCTAACAGGAGAGAGGCTTAAGAGATAGTAAAAGAACCCCCAAAGCACTTACATGTCTTAAAGACACACTTCCATATTTTAAGGATATAGCTCATTATATTCATTATCGCCATCATGAGGATAACACTGACTCAGTTACACTGCTGTCACAGTCCTATCACCTCATAACTGAATTTCATGCCAGCTCTCTGAGGCTAATAAGAGAAAAGGAAGGCACAGGAGAGAAACTCACTGCCATTGAGTGAATGAGTAGAAATCCTCCGTCTTTCTCCAGCAGAGCTACTGGTGGTTTCAAACTGCAGTCCATGTGGATCACAGTACTACTACATCAACAGGAAGAGAAGCAGCATTTTTAAGACAGAGGAGAACTCAGTGCCTTCTCCTCCAAGACATCTCCTCCTGCTAGGAGCCACTGTGAGTTGATGCATGCTACATCAAGAGACTATGACTGGCCCATTCCACAACACTCAGAATGCACTAGAAATCTTGGTTAGATATAAAAAGAAAAAAATGAAAACAATTATTTTGAGAACATTTTCTCATTAAAAATTGATACATAAAATTGAAAAAGTATATTAATATTTTGTTACTCTCCTAGGAATGCCCTAAAATTATTTCTGACAATTACGCAGTAAAATGTTTATGTGAAACTGTCTACAGCATTGAATTAGGATTTTCCTGGACCATCAAAGATAAACTCTCAAACACAAGAGCAAGTAGAGCAACATCTGTCCATTCCAGGTTCCCTTCTGTTTATGTGAAATTCTAGTTTATTTTTTATTCAACTACCAGAAAGTCTTTTCTAATGAGGTTAATTAGGAGAAGGAACAGAAAACAGAGACGAGAAAAAGCAGATCAGGAACAAAGTTGTTTCCGCCACTTCTTTCTTTCACAACTAAAACCTGCCCAGAAGGCCGTGGGGTGGCACCAATTATGTGCACTCCACAACTAACCTACAGGCTGACAGTTTGAACCCATTTAGTAGCACCATGCAAAAAAAGTCCTGGTCATCTGCTTCCATAAAGATTAAACAACAACAATAACAGAAAAGTCAAACCCAATGCCATGGAGTGGATTCTGATGCATACTGCTCCTACAGGGCAGAACAGAAGTGTTCCCTAGGGTTCCAAGACTGTACATTCTTATGGGAGAGAAAGCCTCATTTCGCTCCCAGAGTGGCTGGTGGGTTTCCAGGGCCAACCTTGAGTGTAGCAGCCTAATGTGTAGCCAACTACACTACTCCAGCAAAGCTCCCAAAACACCCGGAGAGGCAGTTCTACTCTACCACATGGCTGATGAGAGTCAGCATCAACTCAATTACAGCAAAATTGGTGTACTGGGCCCTACCCACAGTGGTAGAGGGGTGGGTCTAGCCACAAGTCTCTTGGGACGAATTTATTTTTAAGATTAGACTGAATATGAGGGCAGGGGCTGTGTCTCTTGCAATATATGCAAAAAATCAAAATGAAATAACAGACACTT